GCTGCTGATTGATAATGAATGAAAGCATCATTTGTCATAGTAGCTTGCAAACACAGATCACCGATGTGTTTTCGCATTCTTCCTTGTATTCTTTTCTTGTAGTTTCTGCATAAAACCAGCGAACATATACATATGTCAATCCAAAATAAAAGTTCAAGTCAAGAAAGCTCAACCAATTTATTAACAGGAAATATTAATTTACAAACAGAAGATACATAACAAGACAAAGTTGATGTTCAACAGTTTTAAGGCAAATACATAAAACAGGACTGACACATACTTACCTACTTTCAGTATCAATGCCAACAAAATCTTTTTTCTCAAACGGTGCCATAAGTAAAGGTGCTTTATCACCTTTGTCATTTGATTTATCAAGTCGTTTTGATTCTAGCACCCAGAAAACAGCTGCAGCAAACTCCTTCACATGATCCTCCAGTTTCTGACAATCATCAAAACTTGGATAAACAATAAAATCTGGTCTTGTTTGCTGAGTTGAATTTCCAAATACCATACACCTTGAATCATAGAGAGTGCTTTTATATCCTTCTTTCAAAGAATCAAAATTGGCCTGTATGTTCAATAAGTCACTGTCTGATGTACATTTTCCAATACACAGAAGTCCAAGAACTTTACGATGACACTGATAGTCTCCCCACTCATTATTTGTTTGGGGAACATTTTTCTTATATCGAAGGAAGACGTTTCTTTTTGCATCCTGCATCCGCACACATGTTACTCTTGATATCCTATCAAATATTTTATTGTAGGATTTGGTTTTATGAGGCCCAACTGATTTCAATAAAACCAACAAGGATTGATGATCTTCAGCTCGTTGGCTGTAATCGGCATGACTCATGATGGAACTATTATAAAAGAAAAGTATACATTAATTAGCGTCAATGTTATTATCACCAAACGCTTCAACAGAGATGAGTATACTGAAAAGTAATATATATCCTTCTTTTGCATCGCTGAGCATTTCTGTTTTAGTATACAGCTAAAACTAAAACCGGGCACCGTAAACAAAGTTTGCAAAAAAACATTCAGTCTTTAGAAGTCACTTTATTGTATTGCTAGGACGTATTCTGCTGTTAAATTTATTATTTCCAACCGTTTTGCAATAGTATTTTCTAGATGGGGGCAGCGAAATAAAAAGAATTCCATTTCATTCAAAGTTCAAAGTTGCGTTTGGATTACAGTGTAACAATGTCGACGCCGGTGATCCCTCACCGGTGTGCAACATTTTTGGCTGTTGCCATGGTAGTGGTAGGCCAGGATTGTTTTTCCAATTAGTGCCCGTACAACCTGCCTGTTAAGTATGAACAAAATCAGACACGCCAAAAAAAATCACAGAGGAGTTAAAAGTCGTTGCTGGTGAAAACTTTGTGGTCAATTTTCTCGGTAATGAAAATAGACATAAAAAAAACAGTAAATTTTTTTGCCCACACTCAAGCTGAGTACCGGTAGAATGTGCTACGTCCTTGCTTTTTAATCATAGAAATGTAGGGTGTGATACATTTGGCGCGAAGGTATTCAAGAAATCAGTTTTTGGCTGTTGCTATAGAAACGGTGGGCAAGAATTTGTTTTCAGATTTTACAACCTAACTGGAGTGAAGGTGTGACTTGCCTGCCAAGAGTGAACCAAATCAGCCCAGTCGAAAAACTCACAGAAGAGTTAAAATGCCATTCCTGGTGATCAAATTTCTCATTAATGAAAAAAGATATCAAAAATTCAAATAATAACTTTATGCCCACACTCAAGCTGAGTAGAATGAGCTATGTCTGATTTGTTGTATCCTAAATTTATAGAAGGAGATACATTTGGCCATTTGGAGATACATTTGCAAATTAGTTTTAGTCAAAAAAAGTGACTGCCTAAAAGTGTCATTACTGTTGTTGAAATTTCATTTCACTTGGCAAGTATATTCATGTACTCCAAAAGTAAAATATCATACTTCTAAATATTGTTTATTTCTGCTATGTTTTGAAAAACAATACTCCTGAACGGACTGCTTTGTTTGCTCTCAGACCTCATTTGCATTTGGGGTGTGAAGATATCGATTTTGATTTCAGGGGCGAATCAAAATAAACTGCAGTACATATGTAATAATGTGGAATACTTCATTTTCACTGAAAATATTTTTTGACTAAAATAAATTCCAATGAAAACGCCATTTCCCTCATACTCTATTGAGACTTGACACAGCACAGTGAAAATTAGATCCACACGTAATGCTTGAAAACTTTTCAGTGAAAATAAATTAAGTGAAATTCTATGAGACTTCATGAGAGTTGGAAATGAACAAATTATATGACACAAATTATATTACTTGGGAAATACGAATTATATATTGCGAGGTTCAATAATTCTAAACCAAACTTAAACTTATTCATTGAAAGAGTAAAACAAACCTTTAACCTAGAAAAAGCAATTGCAGAACAATATAACAAATACGAAATATTTGTTAACAAATGGGAAAATATAATGAAATACCTAGAAAAATAAAAATGAGCGACTTTGACCTTGTTTTTTGTGTTTTTGTATTTGTATTTTGTTCAACTTTATTTGTTCTTTTTTTTTGTATTTGTATTTAAAAAAAGTTAATCAGTATTCTGTACATCAC